AAAGCTGTAGTGTTCCCTGTAGCCCCTGCTGGCCTGGAACTCACTATGTAGACCAGGCTGGCCTTGAACTCACAGAGATCTGCCTGCCTCTGTCTCCTGAGTGCTGGGACTAAAGGCATGAGCCACCACACCCAGCTATTTTTTAATTAAAAAAATATGTATAAGCGTTTTGCCTGAATGTAAGTAAGTGTACCACAAGTGAGCAAATGTGCAGACTGGCATTGGATCACCTGGAATTGGAGTTATGGATGGTTGTTAGCTGCCGTGTGGTGCTGAGAACCAAACCTGGGTCCTCTAGAAGAATATAGTGCTCTTAACCCCTGAGCCATCTCTACAGCCCTTAGCTAGCTTTTTTTATGCAGCCCAGGACCACTTAACTAGGGATGGTACTACCCACAGTGAGCTGGGCCCTCCTGCATCAATTAATAAGACAGTTCCCCATAGATAGGCCCACAAGCCAGTCAAATCTAGGCATTTCCTCAGTGGAGGTTTTCCACTCCGATGACTCAAGGCTTTGTCAAATTGATAAACATAAGTAGGACAGTGGGCAAGATACTTGCCATGGACGCATGAGGACTGGAGTTTAGATTTCAGTACTGCCTAAAAGCCGGGCATGACAGCATGTGTCCGTGTGTGTGTGTATGTGTGTATGGCACTGGCTGTCCAGTCAGCCTAGTCAAAACAGTGAGCTCCAAGTTCGGTGAGAAAGCTTATCTCAAAAAAAAAATTAATAATATATATGGTGGACTTTGATAGAAGACACCTGACATCGACTTCTGGGCTCCACACCTGCATCCCCCCCCCCCACATGAACACACATAAATGTAGACCCTGGAGGTGTAGAATTCAGAGCTGCACTTGACATCCTGCTCTTCGAAGGCCAAGCCCTGAAAAAGCCTGTCATAAGCATTGGTGGAGTGTGACTCCCTACCCCTCACCCCAATGCCTTGGCTCTAGGGCACTTTCCAGCCATGATGGGTCCACAGAGTTAGGTTGTCCTCAAGGTCGAAGGACCAGGTAATGGCCGGTCTCAGGCTGCAACTAAGTCACTCTCCAGGTTTCTCCAGGGAGGGAGGGAGGAGGGGCAAAGGATGAGAAGAAACTGAGGTTGCTGGAGTGACCCCAGTCTGGGAGGACAGGGCAAACTATAATTTTGTCCTAGATGAAGATGGGGTTAGGATTAGAATCTGAATCAATCTGGTCTGGAATTCAATCAAGCAATTGATATAAATATCATTTAGAATTTCCTTCCAAAGGCAAGATGTCTTTCCAGACCAAAGGTAAAATAAAAACAAGTCGCCTATGTGTGCGACTCCTTTTCTAAACCCTAAGCTGGCTGGCTCTGGGCTTCTCCCAAGGGCAGGTCCTGGCATGGGCTGTGCTGGGCCGAGCTGCGGCAGGGCGCGGGCGGGGACGCTGCTGCAGAGGGGGCGCTGTGCGCTCGCTCGGCCTTTTGTCAGCGCATAGGGCGGGGAGCTCGCACGCCCTCCAGCCTCCCGCGGGCTCTGGATTTGATTCTAGCTGAATCTCCATTGGGAACGCGGATGAGGGCCTTTGTCCCGCGCTGCAGGATGCGCGGGAAGCGCCGCGCTCTGGAGTAGCCCAGACCTGGGAAGCTGTCCCGGAGCCGCCCAGACGCGCCCGGAGGCCACCGGGGATGGACGTGAGGCCGAGCGAGAGGTAGGGGGTTTCGGGACGCGTGGGGCGTCCCCAGGGTGCCTGAGCCCTGCGCATCCACTGCACGCTGGACCTGAGACCCGGGAGTGGCTGTGCCTGCGCAGGAGCCGGTTCCCGGGTTCATCTGCAGCTCTGCGACTCTGTCACCCCGAGCTGGCGACCCTCCCGCATTTGGAGTGGGGACACTCGCTCCTGGGGACCGTGACGCCTGGCGATGTGGCCTTCGCTGCTGGCGTTGGTGGCCGCCGCCCTAAGGGAGCCGCCAGGATGCGCCTGCCTGGCTACCGATGGTGAGGTCAGGAGCAGCCCGGACTCAGCTTGTCAGGAGGTGCGAATTGGGGTGGCAGGACAGGTGCAGAGATTCTGGCTGCATTAGGATGGGCGACTGGCACCTGAGAACCCCAGGTTTGGGTTTTTATGACACCTTAAAGCTTTGGGTGGTGTGTGGGAGGCCACTGTCCCCGAGGAGGTGCTACCGACCAGTTATCTTTAGTGCTCACTTTCTCCCTCTCCTGCATCCCCTCCTCTCCTGCACCCAGAGAAAAGGTCACTCTCAGTCCAGGGTCCAGGAGGTGGGAGTTAAAGCCGCTGCTTGTTTTGAAATCACCACCACAGCCTGCCAGGTGTTGGGGGAAGGGAGGACAGGGCAGACCACTTTAGGATGCCTGTCAGGCCTGCGACTGGCCTATTGTCTGGCTTGTCAGGCTCCTTCCTTTTCCACCCTTAATCTCCATCCCCTGCCAGATATGAATACGTAGATAAATAAAATTTAAAAGCAAGCCTCAGCTCACAGTCTACCAAATTCTTTTAACAGATTCTCTTTTCTCTGAGATACACAGATCTTTACCCTCTCTCTTTATGCCCACTCCTCCCTCTGGCAGTTTATCATAGGAGCCAACTCATTCAAATGGGCTTATAAATAATAGAAATAAAATCTCCTGTTTCTCTATGGAGATTTCTGACTAATTAGTGAGGAGGGGCTGGCTCTCCATCCTTGATAGAGCCAAGCTGGTGAAGAGGATGGCTCAGCTCCTTTCATGGAGCTTGGGCTGCGATAGGTGTAACTTGTGCAGTGAGAGGTGTTTGTGTGAATGGTATTAGAAAGTTTGTTTCAATAAGGAAGGACCAGCTGGTTAACATTTGAAGCAAGGATGCTTAAAATGAGTTTGGCTGGAGAAGGTAACTGCAGTGTCAGACTGGCAATAGCCTCTCCCACTAGCATGTCAGAGATTTTGAATGGGGAGGGGTATAACATTAAATATTTTTGGTTTTTTTCAAACCACTTTTGTGGTGCTGGGGATGGAATCCCTGGAGCATGGTAAACAGGTGCTCTACCACTGGGGTTACACCCTCAGCCCAATGTGTTTGTGTTCTGTCATTCCTTCTGAGAGCGGACAGATGCCTCTCAGTGCCTGTGGAGCAGGACCTTGCCCAGCCCCCTTTCCTTCCTACCCAGCACAAGTAACTGCAAACTCTTCACTGTGAGTGTGACTTGTTTTCACATACATCTGAAACCCCACATAGTACTATTTCTATGATACAATATCCAAGGATTTATAGCAAGCCTCATGTTCTTTCTTTCCACCAAATGCTCAACCTGATTAGAAGAAATGTGTTTGCCCCATATGTAGTACCGAACCTTGCTCCAAATACCATTCTATCAATGGGTCGAGGACATGGGGGAAAACTCACTTTGAACACTGCTCTACTATGGGGGATGTAGCACTCAGCCATTGTTTTATGTGATAAGATCCCACCATGTATACCAGGCTGGCTTCAAACTCACCATCCTCCTGCCTCAGCTTCCCAGGTGCTGGGATGACAGGCATGTCATCCAGCCTCAGCTGAACCTCAGCTATCCTTAAAGTGACAGATGATCAATTGTGTGTGTTGTCAGAGGGTTTAATATTAAGATTTTAAATATCTATGTAACATTGGAAAATATATTTAACTCCTACATTGCTTCACAAGGAACTTAAGGCACTTTACACAGATTCTAAATAAGGTAAGCCTAACTTAGAAGGGAAATGAAACAGGAAATAAGGCAGAGACACTAGGGCAGGAATCAAAGGCAGCTGGGAAACTTCCAACAACTCCAGTGAAAGGTAACTGACCAGTCCACATGTCTGTTTCATGTGTAGACTTACTCACTCACTTGTTTATTCAGCAAATATTCATGAGGACCTACTATGTGCCTGGTTTTGTGTGAGGTTCTGGGAGCAAAGAGGTGACATAGATGGCCATGGTCTCTGCCCTGATGGCCCTTCAGGACAAAGAAGGAACACAGAGGAGCGCAGCAGTTCTGTATTCTAAGGCCAGAAAGGACCTGTTTCCAGACCAGCAGGTGGGGAGAGGCCTTCCATCCCCTCCTTGTTTTGTACAGGGTGTTTCACATGCTTGGTGCTATTCTCTGACCCATGAGTTCCCACACAGTTTCTCATAGCCTTTGAGGTTGTATGCATTTTGAGGGATGTATACATTCTCTAAAATTAATACCTTTATCTCAGTGATATTCTTAGCTAATTATTAGTAGGAAATGTGTTCTAGATTGTCTTGATGGTGAGGCCCCACCCATCATGCTGATACCAAGCAAAATACAAGCCACTGGGCAGTCCTGTGAGTGACTTTGTTGATCAGAGTATTTGAAGTGACTTTAGTTCTGTGTTACTCTGTTGGAGCAGGGTACAGGCCTGGTGGGCCAGTTACAGCATGAGTGAAGGGAAGGGAGTTTGACTAGACCACACAGAGAAGGAGGCTGGTGTGCACAGGACACAGGCTTGCCATACTCAGAGGAAGGAATGGCTCCTGGTACCTGCCACCATTGGTAAGGAGCGAGGGTCACATCAGGTGCACCTTCCCATGGATCAAGCCTACCCATGTAATAGGAGCGGGAACTATAGTAAAGGCGAAATGGAGATGGAGGGACTGCCCAGTAACTACCTTACACTCAAGATAATGAGATAGGCAAGTGGCTGTGGTGGTTAAGTGGAGCCCAGTTACTTGACTTCAAATCGTTCTACTTCCAAGCTGTGAGTATTTGGGCAAGTTCCTTTACCTCTCTGTTCCTTAGCATCCTCTTATGATAACGCAAGGCTCGGCATAAGGCATTGCTTTCCTAAAGGTTGGTGAGTTTCACACATGGGCTGTTTGAACATAGACTGAAGCTCCTCAGATGTTAGCAATGACTGTTTTTATTAGTATGAATCGGCATCCCGTTTATGTAGGCACTCCAGGGTGGCTAGTGGCAGAATTTTAAATTATATCTGATTATCTTCAAGTGGCAGTGTGTTCAGGGTTATTAGCATTGTTTTGCATGGCATGCTGTGATCCCTGCCTGCCCTGGCATTGTCAAAGTCAATTGCAGAAAATGACAGCCAGAGAAACAGCCTGAGGCTTCATCTTTCCCTTGTTTTAGGTTTTGAGACAGGGTCTCAATTTCAAGTCCCCCCGCCCCGACCCCTGCACTGGCATGGAACCCACTATATAGTCCAGGCTGGCCTCAAACACAATTAATCCTTCTGCCTTAGCCTCCAGAGTGCAGGATTACAGGCAAGAGAGGCCACGCCCAGCTCTCCATTGTTAAACTCGGAAAGGTGTTTTAGTTTCCCAGAAAGACACTATCTGTTGTAGTAAATCAGGTTGGTTTTAAAACACTCTGTTTGAGTGACAATTTAAAGTTTGATGTATTGATGTGTTTTGTTTTACTTTTTGAGACAGAGTCCCACTCTGTATCCTAGAGTGGCCTGAAACTCACTGCATATCCCACGGTAGCCTCGAACTCACAGCAATCAATCACTTACAGGCATGAAGTGCCTTATGTGGTTTGGAAGCAACTTTGGCATTTAAAAATAATTTTTATCACATTTATGTGTTTATTGTGCATATGTGTATGTATGTGAGTGGGTGTGCACATGCCATGTTGCATGTGTGGATGTCCAGTGACACCTTTGTAAGAGTTGGTTCTCTCCTCCCACCATGTGGGGCCTGGGCCTCAAACTCAAGTTTGTTGGTCAGAAAATGCCTTAAGCCTCTGAGCCATATTGCTGGCCCTGCTTTGGTGTTTTAGTAACTTAAGAATTATGAACTAGATTTTGTGAATATACATATTCAAGCTACATTTTATTGAAAGTACCTAAATTCAACTAGAGTTTGCATTGCTTTCCCTATAGAGGAATCTTTGTCTAGTGTAAATCTTCTCAACTGTGTTCAAGGTATAGCCAGGATTGCTGGAGCAGAATTCTGACTCTCTAGAAGAGAGATTGCAGCACCAATTTTGACTCCATGCACCTGTCTACTGAAGGGTTAGCCTGAATAAATTTTAAGGCTGTAACGTCAAAAATGTCTTTGTCTTCAGCAATCATGGCCAAACCCCTCTCACTCAGACGGAACCAAGGAATGACAAACAGGACCAGTTTTTTGGTTTTGCTTCTCAGATAAACCACAGGAGACTAGCTCATCAGTGGTACTGAATGAAGGGAAAGGAATGGGGTGCAAAGTTCAGTGTTATCATTGGGAATTAATTTATTCATGATCTTATTCAAGTACAGTTTTTAAAATGTTTTAATTACACAGATTTACAAGGTACAGTGCAATGATTTTCTACATGTATCAAATGGGTAAAGATTGAATCAGGGCAGTTGGCATACCTATCTCCTCAGATATATCTTGGTTTTGATCACCATGTATGTGTGTGCTACTTTATGGGCCCAGTGTGATATTTCCATACATGCCTACGATGTGTTCTGACCAAACCAAGGCAACTAAGGTTTCTATCTTCTTATAGCTTCATTTGCAGCCTTCCAGTCCCTCTCTTCTGGTTACTTGTAAAAAAGAATGGGTTGTTGCAAACTACCATGGAAATCATAACTTACTTGTTCTATCTAACATGTTTGCATGCCTATTCCTGACCTTTTATCCCTCTCCTCTTCACACTTTGCAGTTTCTGGAAATCACTATTACGCATTCTAATTGTCCTTTTGAAAAAGATATTCGTGCCTAGGGAT